TAGTAAACACACACACACACACTCAACCCCCACAAAAACACAACTAGTAAACACACACACACACACACACACACACACACACACACACACACACACAGGAATGAATATGTCAGGATGAGAAGAGAGGCAGAAAGACAATACAAATGACATCACAAGCAAGGCAAAGACTCAGCCAAATTGTTGCATAGCCACATTAGGAGAAAAACACAGTAAAGGAACAGGTTATGAGATTAAGGACAGGGGCGGAAGGATTCACTACAAATGACAAGGAAGTGTGTGAGGAATTGAATAAGAAATTCCAGGAGGTCTTCACCTTAGAACAAGGAGAAATTCCAGAGGTAAGTGAGGGAATAGCTAACCAGGAACCACTGGAAGAGTTTGAGATTACCAGTGGGGAAGTAAGGAAGTGTTTACTAGAGTTGGACGTGACAAAGGCTATAGGCCCAGATGGAATCTCCCCTTGGGTTCTAAAGGAAGGAGCAAGAGAACTGAGCCTACCACTCTCCATAGTGTATAACAAATCACTGGCAACAGGGGAACTGCCAGATATTTGGAAAGCAGCTAACGTAGTCCCGATATACAAGAAAGGGGATAGACAGGAGGCACTGAACTACAGGCCAGTGTCCCTAACCTGCATACCATGCAAGCTGATGGAGAAGATTGTGCGAAAAAAACTAGTGGAGCATCTGGAGCGAAGGAACTTTGTAACACAGCATCAACATGGGTTCAGGGATGGCAGGTCCTGCCTCACAGGGTTACTTGAATTCTACGACCAGGCAACAAAAATAAGGCAAGAAAGAGAAGGGTGGGCAGACTGCATATTTTTGGATTGTCAGAAAGCCTTTGATACAGTGCCACACAAGAGGCTAGTGCGAAAGTTGGAGATGCAGGCTGGAGTGAGAGGGAAGGTACTCCGGTGGATAGAGGAATACCTAAGCAACAGGAGACAACGAGTCTGTGTGAGGGGTGAGGTCTCAGATTGGCGAGACGTCACAAGTGGAGTCCCGCAGGGGTCAGTCCTTGGACCTATACTGTTTCTGGTATATGTAAATGATCTCCCAGAGGGTATAGATTCGTTCCTCTCAATGTTTGCCGACGATGCAAAAATTATGAGGAGGATTGAAACAGAGGATGATAGTAGGAGGCTACAAGATGACCTGGATAGACTGAGTGAATGGTCCAACAAATGGCTGTTGAAGTTCAACCCGAGTAAATGCAAAGTAATGAAACTAGGCAGTGGAAACAGGAGGCCAGGCACAGGATACAGAATAGGAGATGAAGTACTTAATGAAACAGACAGAGAGAAAGATCTAGGAGTTGATATCACACCAAACCTGTCTCCTGAAGCCCACATAAAGAGAATAACGTCTGCGGCATATGCGAGGCTGGCTAACATCAGAACGGCGTTCAGGAACCTGTGTAAGGAATCATTCAGAATCTTGTACACCACATATGTAAGACCAATCCTGGAGTATGCGGCCCCAGCATGGAGCCCGTACCTTGTCAAGCACAAGACGAAGCTGGAAAAAGTCCAAAGGTATGCTACTAGACTAGTCCCAGAACTAAGAGGCATGAGTTATGAGGAAAGGCTGCGGGAAATGCACCTCACGACACTGGAAGACAGAAGAGTAAGGGGGGACATGATCACAACCTACAAAATCCTCAGGGGAATCGACCGGGTAAACAAGGATGAACTTTTCAACACTGGTGGGACGCGAACAAGGGGACACAGGTGGAAGCTGAGTACCCAAATGAGCCACAGAGACGTTAGAAAGAACTTTTTCAGTGTCAGAGTAGTTAGCAAATGGAATGCATTAGGAAGTGATGTGGTGGAGGCTGACTCCATACACAGTTTCAAATGTAGATATGATAGAGCCCAATAGGCTCAGGAATCTGTACACCAGTTGATTGACGGTTGAGAGGCGGGACCAAAGAGCCAGAGCTCAACCCCCGCAAGCACAATTAGGTGAGTACAATTAGGTGAGTACACACACACACACACACACACACACACACACACACACACACACACACACACACACACACACACACGCACACGCACACGCACACACACACACACACACACACGCACGCACACACACACACACACACACACACACACACACACACACACACACACACACACACACACACACACACACACACACACACACACACACACACACACACACACACACACACACACACACACACACACACACACACACACACACACACACACACACACACACACACACACACACACACACACACACACACACACACACACACACACACACACACACACACACGCCATGCTCAGTTTCAAATGCAGATATGATTGAGCCCAGCTGGCTAAGGAATCACAAAAGATTCCTTCTGGTGTAGGTGTACTTCATTGGTAAACTCATGGCATTTGTTTTTTATCTTATCATGAGAGAGTCTCCTTATCTTATATAGTTATTATTTCGGTCGATCTTCTTAGACTAAATTCTCGGTTTGTCGTGATTGTGAAACTTAATTAATTTGCTACAAAAATAGACAGGATTCATCAATAATTTAAGCAGCCACTTACGAAACCTATGCATCTTTCCTCAATTGTAGCAGCATTGTTTAACTATATTAAACTGTTTATGAGCCCCGAAGCACTAGAAGGTTGTTTATAACAGCAATAAACTTGTGTTGTTAATGTTTCGATGCTCGTAAACTCTTTAGTAAAGTAAACAAAGATCTTATGATTAAAAAAAGATGTACAGGTCTCGTAAATGGATGTGTAAATACTTGATGAATCCGGGGCCAAGCAGCTTAAGTTGCTGATAACTAGCGCAAAAAAAGGGTTTTGTTGATAATGTGTTGTAATTATTATCCAGTGATAGTGTTCGTTGTTATCGTGAAGCGATAACGTGGAGCTGTTCAACCAGTCCTTCCTCCCCCACCAACAGTGCGTCGATCCCACTGATGGTAGCAGCTTAGTATCTGCGCTGCCATTCTATACTGTTCTAGAAGGATATATATGTTTATATACACGTCCTGTGTATTCCAATTGTGCTGGAGTTGGCAGTAGGGAGACCAAAGAGTTACCTGGCTGTGGGTGGCCGCTGTGTTGTGGTGGCGCTCGCATCAACATGATCCTGGCGCGCTGGGTGAGTAATAGTTTCAACACTTTCAGGAATACGAGAATAACACTACATATTTCCTTTCTATCCTATTCCGCTCCTCCCTCCCCACCCCCTCTACCTCTCTCTCTCTCTCTCAGCGCCAAGCCACAGCAACGTTTGCTGCTGTTCCATTACTTGCCCGCGGGCAGCCTTCCTCTACTTCCATATATCTCTCATACCATACAACAATTATAAGTATATAATTCATTAATAAATTATGAAGCGTTTTCCTACAGAAAAAATTACCACTAGATATTTTTTTGGCTGGTGTGTAGGCCTCTGGCTGGGTCCCCTGGGTGTTATTCATTTGAGTCTTACTAAGGCGAGGGATGAGTGGTTTCAGTTAATGTCCAATTTGTTTATTATCTTTTGCAGTGTAAATATATTGTTTATAACTCTACACTGTGTTGGGTAATGTTCCAATGGTCTCCTTAGCATTTCTACGCAATACTGTACTGACAATTCTTATCTTCTTCTGGAACCTGTTAGCCTATTTCCCCGGCAGAGAGGTATGCAAGCCTCATGCAGGCGATGACGTAAGAACACTACACTACGGAACACCTACACGAGGCAGCTTTTATAAATATACTCAACATCTTACAAGTGATCATTTTTAACCTTAATCGGTTGACCCATCTTATATAGTTCCCAAATAACTGTTTATTCGATTTTTTATTTAATTTGAATTCTTTCTTGCTATTTCTTTCCTTACTAGCCAACCACTTGGGCTGGACAGTTGAGCGACGGTTTCGCTTCATGCAGGTCGGCGTTCAATTCCCTGCCGTCCAAGTGGCTGGGCACCATTCCTTCACCCCCCCCCCCCGTCCCATCTCAAATCATTATCCTAACCCTACCAAGTGCTATATAGTCGTAATGGCTTGGCGCTTTCCCTTGACAACTCTAAGAGGAGGACTCTTACAATATTGCTCAGTATTGTCCTCACGTGATAGTTTCAACTAGTCTTTTATATTTCCTTTATTGATGCTTTACTTCCACTTGCATACGTCAGTCGTATGCTCCCTCAGTCTCAGGCCTCAACGATAATCATATTACTAGATGCTAAAATGGCATCCATTAAGGAATTATCAGCAATAAATGTATGTGCATATGTTACAAATATATCTGTTCTTTAAAAGAGAATATCTGTTTGTCTGTCCGAAGTTGGAGGCCAGGCGGCCAAAATTAGGGCTACCCTCACCCAAATTGACATAGGGACTGGTCTGGGGTGCGGGATAAACATAGGTTGGGCGGGGTCGCCTGAATTCACTAGAGAACTGCGTGCCAAAACACAACACCGGGGCAGCACGGTGTGTGTTCCCAGCCGTCATGGGAACATAAGAGATGATGCAATAGACCTATTGGCCCATAAATGAGGACCATCACCTCATCCCCGGCTATATATCCAGCAGCAGGGAGCATTATAACTTTACGGGCTATTCATGCCCGTGCCACCTCTTTGGTGGTTTAATCTTTATCAATCAATCAACTTTGTAATTATTCAAACTCTGCCTTTGATAATGTTAAGAAGAGTTAACAAAATGCCTCTCCTAACTCTGGTTTCCCTTCAAAACGCACTCCTCTCCTACCTGCAGGCCTAATAAAGTCGTAAAAATTAACTTTAGAGAGTTAATTTTTTAACTTCCTTCTCAAGTAAACAAACAAAAAAATAGGAAGATTCGCGCTGGAATCATTGATCTCACCTTTTCTGTCATACAATAATATATGGCGCCAAGGAAAGCTGCAACCAAAATATACTTTATATGTATTGGTGTAACGGGGCAGCAGGAGTCCCTTTATACATATTGGGTTAAAAGTGGCCGCATTGCTGACGTTTTTGATTTTGCTGTTCAAGGATTTGATGCATCTGACAATCTTCTTTCCATCAGCGTCGAGCTGGTTGATTAGATAACCGAAATTCATTGTCTATCTGGGTTTTAGGAGAATAAAACTCAACAAGAATGACTTTATGATGTATTATGTACACATGTCGTTCCTGCCTGGAACATCTTCAGGTGAAACATGTTTTTTGTGGAGACGATGAGTCACAATAACGTGGCTGAAGACATGATGGCCAAACCACTCATCAGAAGATGAGGAGACGACGACGTTTCGATCTGTCCTGGACCATTGTCAAGTCGATTGTGATGGGAGCGAGGTTTTTGTTGTTGTTTTAGATTCAGGTACTCGGTACAAAAAGTTGCAAGTAGCACGGGCTATGGTGAGTCCGTAGTGGATTTACCTGGCACAGGAGCGGGGCTGTGACTTGGGAGCAAGACTGATTGATTGATGAAGATTACATCACCCAACAGGTGGCACGGGCATGGATAGCCTGTAATGGGAGCAATGCTGTTTTGTTGTTTTAGATTTAGCCACTCAGAACGAAATGTCCATGTGGCACGGGATGAGCCCCGTAATTGAGTTCGGTTATTCGCGATAACCTTGTTAATTTGATATTTGGGTCAAAGTTTTAAATGGAGGTGGGGCTTCCTCCTTTTTCCCTGTTTTTTTAGCTTCTGTTTTAGTGCACTGGTTTTAGTCTTGTTTTAATAACATTATCTTGGTGGCATATATATATATATATGCAGAATGCTCACTAGTGAGTCCCATTCCTCAACGACTTTTCTAATCATTGTAGTGGCTGTGGAATGTGCATCTAATGCAGCTGCTGTCGTTGGATTAATGTTTAGTTTGATGCGCAGGGCTTCAGTCGCTTCACATTCCAGTAAGTAGTGCAATAGTGGCGCCTCTGTTTCTGTTCCACAGATGTGACACTCTTTAACTATTGGGTTTATTACCTCCCAGCAGCACTTGTAACCAAGTCTGAGTCTGTGTATGGCTACAGCAATGTCTCTGGATATCTTTTTGTCAGGCTTGAAAGAGTAGTACCCAGTGGCTTGTTCGTACCATATCGCAGTGGATCTTCCTACCGCTACTTTGGCTCTGAGACGACTTTTGATAGTTGGGAGTATTTTCTTCTTGATTTGCTCCTTAATCTGTGAAAAACTTGGAGGTATTTGAACCTGTACAACAGGTAGAGCAGTGACAGTTTTTGCTAGTGAGTCTGCCTTTTCATTACCATCTATGCCAGTGTAACTTGGTATCCTATTTAGGGTGATTGACAGCCCTAGATTATGGGCTTCTGGTCCTATATGTTGGATTTCTGTGAGGAGTTGTATATTATCTCTGTGCTGACTGGATAACAATGCCTGGAACGAAGATTTAGAGTCAGTATGAATGATGACATTATGTAAATTATTATTAATTGCATAATTAATGGCCTCTTTCAGGGGATATAATTCTGTTTGCAATGTTGAGCACCCACTATTCATGCTCCAGTAAGCTTCATGGTTGGTAGTGTAAACTGCTGCTCCAGCAGAACCTCTTTCTTGATCAACTGATCCGTCTGTGAAGATGTGAGTGGTTGTAGGTCTTGAGATGGTTTCCATTTGTTGTTCTATGACTGCTTTGAGCCTCTGCGAGTCACATGCTGATTTTTCCATTGGTAACCCTTCAATGATTATCTTTAGACTCGATTCTTCCCATGGAGGAGGCTGCCGAAAGTGTTGATATGGTCTATCTTCTCCTTTGTTTTTAATGGTCCATTTCAAGTCCACTTTTTTATCCGTCCATGCACTTGTTATATATTAAAGGTTTCTCTGAAGCGATCTGTGTATGCTATCTTTGATTGACAGTCTGGCGGTGGGGAAGCAAGGTTGTTGTTGTTGTTGTTGTTTTAGATTCAGCTACTCGGAACAAAAGTTCCAAGTAGCACGGACTATGGTGAGCCCGTAACTTGGCACAGGAACGGGGCAAGTAGCACGGGCTATGGTGAGCCCGTAGTGGACTTACCCGGCACAGGAGCGGTGCTTTTGCTTCGGAAGCAAGATTGATTGATTGATAAAGATTAAGCCACCCAAGAGGTGGCACGGGCATGAATAGCCCGTAAGTGGTACAATTTTTTGTTCAGTAATTCTTTTCAGTATTCTGAGGTTGCATTTAATCGTCAAGCTGTTATCGCGGGGGAGGATACTGCTTGACAGTCTTTATGAGGGTGTCCAGCTGCTGGACACCTTTGTTGACCAGGAGAGTGGCTGTGTTGATGGCTTCAGGGTGGCCACTGCATGATTCAGGAACTCTTAATGCTCTTCTAAGGTCATTGGTTGCTTCAAATTCCAGAAGATAGTGAAGTAATGGCTTTTCTGTGACAGTTTGGCAGAAGATGCACTCTCTCTGTCGGGGTTCACCAATCTCCCAGTTGCATCTGTAACCTAGACGTAGTCTATATAACCTAGCTGCTATTTCCCTGTGGATTCCTTTTGGAATATTTAACCTTTCTAACTTGGTTGCCTGAAGATACAATGTTGCAGATGGCGAACCTTCAGCTATTCTCTGGTGCAGGTAGACTTTGTTGAGGTGTGAGAGTTTTTTGGTGATGATGTTTTTTATGTTCTCTAGGCTGGGTTGAATTGTTTTATGTATGAGTTGCCAACTTAGCAATTTCATTGGTTTCTCATTTAATGGGATTCCAACATGGGATGGGATCCAGTTTAAAGTTATGTTGAGTCCTTTGCCTTTAGCGACTGCGCCAAGATACTAAATGGTGGTAATTATTTCCACGTTATCTTTCCACTGTTTTGTCCTAATATTTGAAGTGCAGCTTTTGAGTCTGTGTGTATGATTGCATTTTGAGTGTTTTGTGCAATCACATATGCGAATGCCTGTTGTATGGCAAACAGCTCAGTTTGGGTTGATGATACTAGTCCTCCCAGTCTCCAATATGCCTGTACGCTGCCGTGCAAAGAGCAGCGCCAGCACTCTCATATTCTGTGTCCACCGATCCGTCTGTGAAGATGTGGGTGGCTCCTGCTTCTGCAATGCTATACATTTGCTCTTCTATTATGCGCCTTAAGATTGTTGGATCATAGGCAGCCTTTTTCATTGGGAGACTTTCTATTACTATTTTGAAAGTAGGCTCTTCCCACGGTGCGGAGGAAGTGTAATTTGGGTGTGGATGATCACCCTCTCTATCAAGAATCATGCTTTTTAAATGAAGTCTGTTTAGGACATTTCCTGCTCTTGTAGCCCAAGAGTTTCCATTGTTTTGGCCAAATCCAGCCATCGAGGCCTGCCGTACTGGGTGGAAGCAAGTTGTTATAAATTCAGCTACTCAGAACAAGTTCCAAGTAGCACGGGCTATGGTGAGCCCGTAGTGGACTTACCTGGCACAGGAGCAGTTCGCGAGTTAGGAAGCAAGGTTGTTGTTGTTGTTACAGATTTAGCTACTCAGAACGAAGTGTCCATGTAGCACGAGCTATAGTGAGCCCGTAATTGAGTTTGGTTATACGTGATAACCTTGTTTCTGTGATATTTGGGTCTAAGTTTAAAATGGAGGAGGGGATTTCTCCTTTTTGCCCCCACGAGGGATGAACGCCATGATGATGGAAGCAAGTTGTTGTTATAGATTCAGCTACTCGGAACAAGTTCCAAATAGCACGGGCTATGGTGAGCCTGTAACTTACCTGGCACAGGAGCGGGGCAAGACGCACGGGCTATGGTGAGCCTCTGGAAGCAAGATTGATTGATAAAGATTAAGCCACCCAAGAGGTGGCACGGGCATGAATAGCCCGTAAGTCTGGAAGCAAGATTGATTGATTGATAAAGATTAAGCCACCCAAAAGGTGGCACGGGCATGAATAGCCCGTAAGTGGTGGCCCTTTTGAGCCATCTGTGGATATCTGTGGAGGTGCGACTGCACCCTGCGTGACTGGAGATGTCTCCCGTGAAAAAAAAAATATATATATATATATATATACATATATATATATATATATATATATATATATATATATATATATATATATATATATATATATATATATATATATATATATATATATATATGTCGTACCTAGTAGCCAGAACGCACTTCTCAGCCTACTATGCAAGGCCCGATTTGCCTAATAAGCCAAGTTTTTCTGAATTAATATATTTTCTCTAACTTTTTTCTTATGAAATGATAAAGCTACCCATTTCATTATGTATGAGGTCAATTTTTTTTAATGGAGTTAAAATTAACGTAGATATATGACAGAACCTAACCAACCCTACCTAACCTAACCTAACCCATCTTTATAGGTTAGGTTAGGTTAGGTAGCCGAAAAAGTTAGGTTAGGTTAGGTTAGGTAGGTTAGGTAATCGAAAAACAATTGATTCATGAAAACTTGGCTTATTAGGCAAATTGGGCCTTGCATAGTAGGCTGAGAAGTGCGTTCTGGCTACTAGGTACGACATTATATATATATATATATATATATATATATATATATATATATATATATATATATATATATATATATATATATATATATATATATATATATATATATATATATATATATATATATATATATATAACTGAAAACTCACACCCCAGAAGTGACTCGAACCCATACTCCCAGGAGCAACGCAACTGGTATGTACAAGACGCCTTAATCCACTTGACCATCACGACCGGACAAAATGAGGTGATAGCCGAAGCTATTTGAACCACCCCACCGCCGGCACTCGGATGGTAATCTTGGGCAAAGCATTTTACCAAATCACCTCATTCTTTGGGGCACACGTGAGGAACACAAATGCGAACAAGCCTGAATGGTCCCCAGGACAATATGCAACTGAAAACTCACACCCCAGAAGTGACTCGAACCCATACTCCCAGGAGCAACGCAACTGGTATGTACAAGACGCCTTAATCCACTTGACCATCACGACCGGACAAAATGAGGTGATAGCCGAAGCTATTTGAACCACCCCACCGCCGGCACTCGGATGGTAATCTTGGGCATAGCATTTTACCAAATCACCTCATTCTTTGGGGCACACGTGAGGAACACAAATGCGAACAAGCCTGAATGATCCCCAGGACAATATGCAACTGAAAACTCACACCCCAGAAGTTTTTCACCTCATTTTGTCCGGTCGTGATGGTCAAGTGGATTAAGGCGTCTTGTACATACCAGTTGCGTTGCTCCTGGGAGTATGGGTTCGAGTCACTTCTGGGGTGTGAGTTTGCAGTTGCATATTGTCCTGGGGACCATTCAGGCTTGTTCGCATTTGTGTTCCTCACGTGTGCCCCAAAGAATGAGGTGATTTGGTAAAATGCTATGCCCAAGATTACCATCCGAGTGCCGGCGGTGGGGTGGTTCAAATAGCTTCGGCTATCACCTCATTTTGTCCGGTCGTGATGGTCAAGTGGATTAAGGCGTCTTGTACATACCAGTTGCGTTGCTCCTGGGAGTATGGGTTCGAGTCACTTCTGGGGTGTGAGTTTTCAGTTGCATATTGTCCTGGGGACCATTCAGGCTTGTTCGCATATATATATATATATATATATATATATATATATATATACATTATATATATATATATATATATACATTATATATATATACATTATATATATATATACATTATATATATATATATATATATATATATATATATATATATATATATATATATATATATATATATATATAAGAATCATGCTTTTTGATATATATGATATACATCAATATATATATATATATATATATATATATATATATATATATATATATATATATATATATATATATATATATATATATATATATATATATATACACACACATTATTATTATATGTTTGGTGTTTTGCAGGTGGTGGTGTTGGTGGTGGGGGTCGGGGGCGCCGAGGCTGCCTGCTCAGGGATTAGCTGGATAAATGAGGCTTGTATTGAGGACATTCAGTGTACAGCTGAAGGGAATTTACTTACTATATGGGAAGACTGTGCGGTCGGCAGCGAGTTGTTTACATACAGTGGTTAGTAAGTTGTTTGTTTATAATTATTTTCATACAAGTAGATTTGCAGAGTCTCAGGAGGACAAAAATTTATTCTATACCGTTTCGAAGTATCTAAATTACATAAAGTCAATTTGTTTTTAATTTCAGTAATTGTTTGATCTCATGACAAAACAAACTTTAATTTTACGAACTAAATTTAATTTGCCTAACAATTACAATTATTTTTATTATACCAGAACAAAATTATAAAGTTGTAAGTTATTGAACCTATAAACAATATATATGAGACATTATTATCTCTTGATAATGAACAAATGAATCAAATGAAATAGGTAAAAACAGCAAGGAAACAACAAGCTTAGAAAATGTAATATTAATGTAGAAAACAGTAAGTCACGGTAAAGGGAACGATAATTAGACAAACAACCACATCCTAAAATATATACGAAGTGACGACATTTCGGTCCGTCCTCGACGACCGAAACGTCGTCGAAATAGCCGATATATATATATATATATATATATATATATATATATATATATATATATATATATATATATATATATATATATATATGCAGAAAATCCACAGAGAAATATGAAATGAGGTGAACGTTTCGGCTTGTTAAAGCCTTTGTCAACACCAGGTCAGTCTGGTGATAACAAAGGCTTTAACAAGCCGAAACGTTCACCTCATTTCATATTTCTCTGTGGATTTTCCGCATAAAATGATCAGTGTTTTGTGATCGTCAATTGCATATATATATATATATATATATATATATATATATATATATATATATATATATATATATATATATATATATATATATATTATACATGCAATTTCTCTTAATATTATAATGTATTTTTATATTTGTTTTAGATACAACAACACTACTCGACAATTGCATCTATTTCTCAAGAAATGATCAAACAGTGTCCCTCAAAGTCTCTTTCAATGCAGAGACAGACAACATGCCACAGAAGTACTGTAGAAGCGATGCTGGTGTTTTTACACAGTTTACTATTCTGGATGTAAATGAATTTGATCCATTACCTGTTGACATGGGCCAGACATATGAAGTTCAAATCGACGAGGTAAGATTTTCAAGACTAGAATGTTAAATTTATACCAAGTTATATTTTAAACCTTTTCCCTGTAAATAAATGTTTCAAATATAGATTTGTTTTCAAATTTTAATTTTTTAAAGTTAATGTTGTCAATCATTGCCGAATATGTATCTAAACTCCCTATAATAATTGTTCATATGCTTTTTCTATAAGTTCTATGGTGTTGTGATTAAGGCCTGCCAGCTTCTCGTGGGTTATTAACCAAAGATGTAAAATTACAAATTCTTGAACCAATTCACATAAGCGTCGAACTTAATTCATATAAGTTCCAGTCTACCCTACCAATTCATGGTGGGTAGATTCATAACATACAAGCCACAATATACCATACATGCCACGATATACCATACATGCCACGATATACCATACATGCCACGATATACCATACAAGCCACGATATACCATACATGCCATAATATACCATACAAGCCACGATATACCATACAAGCCACGATATACCATACAAACCACGATATACCATACAAGCCACGATATAACATACTAGCCATGATATACCATACAAGGCAAGATATACCATACAAGCCACGATATACCATGCAAGCCAAGATATGCCATAGAAGCCAAGATATACCATGCAAGCCAAGATATACCATAGAAGCCAAGATATACCATAGAAGCCAAGATATACCATACAAGCCATGATATACTATACAAGCCAAGATATACCATACAAGCCAAGATATACCATACAAGCCAAGATATACCATACAAGCCACGATATACCATACAAGCCAAGATATACCATACAAGCCAAGATTTACCATACAAGCCATAATATACCATACAAGGCACGATATACTGTACCATACAAGCCAAGATATACCATACAAGCCAAGATATACCATGCAAGTCATAATATACCATACAAGGCACGATATACCATACGAGCCAAGATATACCATGCAAGCCAAGATATACCATGCAAGCCATAATATACCATACAAGGCACGATATACCATACAAGCCACGATATACCATAAAAGCCAAGATATACCATACAAGCCATAATATACCATACGAGCCAAGATATACCATACAAGCCAAGATATACCATACAAGCCAAGATATACCATGCAAGTCATAATATACCATACAAGGCACGATATACCATACGAGCCAAGATATACCATGCAAGCCAAGATATACCATGCAAGCCATAATATACCATACAAGGCACGATATACCATACAAGGCACGATATACCATAAAAGCCAAGATATACCATACAAGCCATAATATACCATACGAGCCAAGATATACCATACAAGCCAAGATATACCATACAAGCCACGATATACCATACAAGCCACAATATACCATACAAGCCACGATATACCATACAAGCCAAGATATACCATACAAGCCACGATATACCATACAAGCCACGATATACCATACAAGCCACAATATACCATACAAGCCACGATATACCATAAAAGCCACGATATACCATACAAGCCAAGATATACCATACAAGCCACGATATACCATACAAGCCAAGATATACCATACAAGCCACGATATACCATACAAGCCAAGATATACCATACAAGCCACGATATACCATACAAGCCAAGATATACCATACAAGCCACGATATACCATACAAGCCACGATATACCATACAAGCCACGATATACCATACAAGCCACGATATACCATACAAGCCACGATATACTATACAAGCCACGATATACCATACAAGCCACGATATACCATACAAACCACAATATACTATACAATACCGTAACACAAAATATCAGAGCAATATACGACTGTAATAAAGAATTTAATGCTCTGCATTTCAGGAAATTGTTGCTCAGGAAATTACTGTTGTGATGTACACGGATGACGACTATAAAGAGACCGAAACATTAAATTGTGAAATGGTAAGAGATATACTTTAACTCTATGTATTATTTTTTGGGGGATGTTTGGAGAAATTGTCATAATAAGAACATTGTGAACAATTTGCAGCACCGTGTGTTCACGAGAACATCCATGAAAGACTCTCAAAACTTCTGAACATCAAAATATGCATAAATCACTGCTATGTGAAGTGTGTGTCCTTGAAAAAGATCACTGGCGGCTGGCCTGATTAAATACCACCTAATTGCAGACAATCTGAAATATTATCTCTCTGTAAGATGTTTAAGCTTTCTTCTTACTCTGTACTTAATACCTTTAGAGACTGTGTGGAAGATCATGGATGCTGCATCTCCCAAGATTTACACTCATTTTTGAGCTGTTTTCAAGTTATTCCTATTAGTACTGCTGAGTGTAAGAGGGAATTGTCTCATGAACCTGATAACAACAACAACACACTCAAGAACTCTCATAAATCATGTATCAGCGCTTATGTGTGTTAAACTACGAGGACCTCCTCTTGTTGAGCGGAATCCTGAGCCATATGCCATATGATGGCTGCCGTACCACAGACCGGCAGATGCAATCCGTTCTCGCACTTGCCTTCAGTCAATATTGGCATATTTAATAAGTGCATATGTGACATACTAATTGATTGTGAATATTTTAGTTTGCCTTGAAAAGCTTCATTGAAAACACCGACCTCACCTAACCTTCTTAGTATGTTAAGATAAGCATCTTATTGTTTCTTATTTACAATTATTACTTAACCTATCAACGGTATAGGTTAAGTAATAATTGTAATTAAGAAGCAATAAGATGCTTATCTTAACATACTAAGAAGGTTAGGTGAGGTCGGTGTTTTCTATGAAGCTTTTCAAGGCAAACTAAAATATTCACAATCAATTAGTATGTCACATATGCACTTATTAAATATGCCAATATTGACTGAAGGCAAGTGCGAGAACGGGTTGGCAGAAGACACCAGGACAAGAGTCGCTTCACACACCAGTAAACATCTCACACCTCACCCTCTGTGGAGGCTGTTGTGAAACTTCTCACTGGTTGTATTTTTGGGGCACTAAGTGTTTTAACGTCTTAAATTGAGAAATACATGAACAAATCCACAATGGCCGTGATGAGGGTTCGAACCTACGTCCGGGATGATCCCAGACGCGCGTTAGTCGATTCCGCCACGACATGGTCAAAAGAATTGCAACCGGGAGTGCTACTGCCCCTAACACAGATCCTGCAGCCTCTCCGAGACTCAAACCTGGGTTTTACACAATTCCCCCCATGTACCCGGGATCTGTCAACCAGATGTTCTACCTCTTCGCCCTTACTTCAATACACACAGAAATCACAATAGCGTGATGAATCAAATAAACAAATCCACAAGGGTCGTGATGAGGGCTCGAACCTACGTCCGGGATGATTTCTGTGTGTATTGAAGTATGGGCCATGACCATGCCGTGGCGCAGTCGACTAAGGCGCGCCTGGTGGATCATCTCGGACGTAGGTTCAAACCCTCATCATAGCCCTTGTGGATTTGTTCATTTGATGTATCACGCTATTGTGATTTCTGTGTGTATTGATAAATACGTGATTGATGTTTTTCTTTATTTGTTTGATAATTATACTTTATGATAATTAGTGAGTACAAACATGAAATACTTATTCGTGTGACATATACAGAAACAGGATAGGAATTGACAGGCCTTTGTCAGGCCCATCAGAGCTCCAGCACCAATAAAATTGGCACTGTACCCATGACTTGGGTACAGTGACTGGGTACATGACTGTACCCTTGTAATAGTAGCATGGACTCACATTTACAGCACTATAAAGAGCATGCACTTTATAAGTAAACCGGTACATCCACATACACTGTATCCTCTTGCAAAGCACATTAGATGACACTCCAGGGGACTTCAAGTAGTTGACTCCCTAAGCAGTCAACGTGGACATAGATATTTCATCGAATCACCTAACTGACCACTCTGGTCGTAACAGTATTCACGAAGAAAGTTAAGCTTTTTATACATGAAGAAAGTTAAATTTGTACACTGAAGAAAGTTCTGTTGTTTACTTGAAGAAAGTTTCATCTTCTATTTCTATAATAAGCTCGTTCTTTCATATTGTTGAATTATGACTGTTAATTATTGTTAAATTATAACAATATTCTGAGATTTAAAATCAGTATTATAATTTTTTTTGCTCTATCTAAAACCTTAACTAAAGGCATTTATATTAATAATTTTTTCTTTACCATATTATTTATTTAAGTTTTATTTGGCAGTTCGTCATAATTACTTTTTTTCACTCTATTTCAGACGTCAACAGACTATAAGGGAAAATTTACAATGACTAAGGAGTATCAGGAGGCTAGTAAACAGATGAAGTTTTCTCTGAACACATTGCAACCCCTGGATTTTGAAGAGCTTATGTTCTATAAACTAACATTTAAAATCACCGTAAGTATGTGACTATGAGTTAACCTTTACTAAAGAAGAAAAATTATTACATTTTTTGTTGTTGCAAGCGGACTGTTGTTTGGCCATCCCGTTCTCTAAATTTGCTGCTTTGAAAATTGCAACTGTTTTGTCTAACCAGAAATATACTAACCAGCGTAATCAATGGATAGATTAGGTGGGTTCGTTTGGTTCGTACGCTTTTGGCTAGGATAAAACAGTTGCAGTTTTCACGGAAGAGCAAATCGAGAGAACGGGCTGCAGGCCAGGGACACTGATAACGTGTGTCAACGTCTGTACTGCAGCTAGAAGGAAAGTAAGATATATTTGGGTTTTATAGAAAGTGTTATTAAGAACGTAACAAAATAAGATTAACTGAAACTGGTGAAGGTTTATTGGCAGCTCCTATTTGTTTCCTGCCAAACTCATTCATATGTAAGTCTAACCAATGTTTGTAACTTCAAACTTTGTATCACTTCTAACCCAAGTGATACCATGTCTATTATGTTACCCGGTAACTTGTCCAATAAATCAACAACCCTCTTCCTAAACCAGTATCTACCCAGGTCTTTCCTGAATCTAAGCTTATCCAGTTCGTGTCTATATTTACGGAACACCCTGTTGCTGACATACTTGCGTGTTTATATACTCAACAGGAAAGCTGCCACTTGTTGGTTTTCACTATTGTACACATTTCCCCCCCAGAGTATTGATGATAGAAAGGCTACTAAGGAAGTGACGCAAACCATCCTGGTGTCACTTAACGACGTGGGAGACAATCCACCATACTGGGTCCACTACAATCCCACCTACGATTTACAAGAGTGTGAGGCAAACGTGAGTATATAGAAGCACAATCAAACACTCATTTATCCACTGCAATTATAACTCCAAAATTTTGAAAATATTGAGACCATACGATGAGATCGAACCCGTATTCCTGAACTCCTCAGGCACACGCACTACCAACTCAGCCATGATGGGTTAGAAATATAATACATTGTTGTGATTTAATTGTGCACCAAAAAATTGTTTGTCGGTTCATTGGTTAGATTTGTGTTCTCATTTTCGGTTAAATTTGTTTTGGCAGACAGCAATGTTCAAAGTGGAGGCGCGGGACCGGGACGTGGTGGTGAACAACGCCGTCCAGTACAGCATTACTGACGGTCAGTGTACACTAATATGTAGAGCTACATGAACGGGTTGTACATACCAATAACAACAACCATTAGTTATTTTTCGTACGTTTTTTTATCAATTTTGTTCTTTCAGTTTGATTTCTCCTGATGCACTGAAGATGAGGTAACTATTGGATGTATTTGTATAACCTAAGCTGAGGTGATAGTTAACAGCTGTAACTATCTATGTAGAGGACAGTAAGTCACACTAACGTGGCTGCATATTAGACATCAGGCTACACATCTCAAAATATAGGAAGCGACGTCGACTTTTCGGTCCGTCCGATAATGGTCCGGGACTGACCGAAACGTCGTCACTTCCTTTCTCTTCAGACGTGTGGGTTGATGTTTTATAACTAGCTATATAAACCCTAGCTAAGATCACAGCTAATAGATATACCAGCATTTTTATGTGCACTGCTACATTCATTTTTATCACATGACCACAAAATCGTTGCGTTCATATCATATTTATATCCACCCAAACTCATTCACATATAAATTGCTAATGCCATACCGTGGATATAGACAGCAGCTTGGTGCCTCTAGAATCCATATTTATTAAAGGGTGTTGGTAGCTCGTTGGTAACGCTACTGTTTATGTGGTCGGCAGTTCGAAGCTCCGATTGTCCAGGTGACTGAACAAATTGATTGTCCTTCTGCTCAAAATGATATTAGCAATTTATATATGAACGAGTTTGTGTGGATATATATACGAGACGAAGGCAAAGTTGTAGTGGCTATCTGGGATGGCCACTAACTACATCGTTGCGTTGGTTGTTACCCGGTAATTTGTTCCATAAATTAATTCTTTACAAACCAGTTCTTTCCTTAATCTAAACTTCTCTAGTTTGTATCCATTATTTCTAGTTCTATTTTGTGTTGATATATGTAGATTTGCTTATATCCCCCTTCGTTATGTCCTTTTTATCAATTTATCTACTCAAACCTGACATCCTTTACTCTTTCTCCATCTAGACTGGCTTGTTCAGAATTACTTCTTGACATTGTTTAATAATTCTCACTTGTGCTTCGTTATCAGGGAATGACGATAATTACTTCACAATTGACGCAATTACTGGAGATTTGTCAACAAACAAACAGATCGATCGAGAAGCACTAGTCGACCTGGGCATAACATCGTTCACCATAACTATCACAGCACAGGAATATAAGAATGGTGCCCCTATCGACCCCAACAGTAACATTACCTCATCTAACCAGGTGAGTGGACTTGTTTGCTACTGATGTGGTCATCATTTGTGTCTGATGGTTTAGTTACCCAGATAATAGGCTACTGACGTGGTCATCATTTGTGTCTGATGGTTTAGTTACCCAGATAATAGGCTACTGACGTGGTCATCATTTGTGTCTGATGGTTTAGTTACCCAGATAATAGGCTACTGACGTGGTCATCATTTGTGTCTGATGGTTTAGTTACCCAGATAATAGGCTACTGACGTGGTCATCATTTGTGTCTGATGGTTTAGTTACCCAGATAATAGGCTACTGACGTGGTCATCATTTGTGTCTGATGGTTTAGTTACCCAGATAATAGGCTACTGACGTGGTCATCATTTGTGTCTGATGGTTTAGTTACCCAGATAATAGGCTACTGACGTGGTCATCATTTGTGTCTGATGGTTTAGTTACCCAGATAATAGGCTACTGACGTGGTCATCATTTGTGTCTGATGGTTTAGTTACCCAGATAATAGGCTACTGACGTGGTCATCATTTGTGTCTGATGGTTTAGTTACCCAGATAATAGGCTACTGACGTGGTCATCATTTGTGTCTGATGGTTTAGTTACCCAGATAATAGGCTACTGACGTGGTCATCATTTGTGTCTGATGGTTTAGTTACCCAGATAATAGGCTACTGATAATGTTAACATTTGCGTGTGTGTTGATTTTAAATTAACGTTTTATTTTTGTTTACATTCGTTATATTATATATATTTATGTATATGTATACATAGATAATTTACTTTAATCCTGAACTTTCTTTGGGATTACAATATGCACTTGATGGTTGGAAACTAAGTTAGATTGTGGCCTTAAGTAAGACCCATCGACTACATGGATCCTTAAACTTGATCTGATTAAAAGTGAACTTAACCATAAAGTAACCGAACCCTCATCTAACCTAACCATAAACTGGCCAAGTCTAACTTAACCATGAACTATCCTAACCTAACCATAAACTATGCTAGCCATAAACTATCTAACCAATGCAGATGAGGAGTCACAATAACGTGGCTGAAATATGTTGACCAAACCACACACTAGAAAGTGAAGGAACGACGACGTTTCGTCGTTCTCCAAGTCCAGGACGGACCGAAACGTCGCAGTCCCTTCACTTTCTAGTGTGTGGTTTGGTCAACCTATCTAACCTAACCCAACCATAAACTCTCCTACCCTAACTCAACCATAAACTATCCTAACCTAACCCAACCATGAACCATGAACCATCTTACCCTAACCCAACTATAAACTATCATACCTTTATCCAACCATGAATTATTTTAACCTGGTCAAAATGCAATATTCACTGTAAAGATCTTCTAATGCCATTTATCTCAATATTCTCCTTTATCTTCACTGCAGGTTATTGTCATTTACATAGTGGACATAAATGATAACAGTCCAACCTTCAGTGATGAAGCCCTCAGTGTTGAGATCCCAGAGCTGACAGATAACGCTATGCTCCCTCTGGCTATTTATGTTATCGACATGGATGAGGTACGGTGTTGATCTTCCTGCTTTGGTGGGCTTTACGGCCAGAGTCCTGTGGCAGGACATTAGGTCAAGGTGCCCTTTTTAATTTAGTTATAAGGTCATTCTACCCTATAAACCACCGCAAATCTGTTGCAAGGTCTTATTTTATACAACTGCATTCTCCAGCAAGTGGTGTTTGAATTTTAGAAATAATATAAATGAATTATATATGACATTATAGGAGCTGCGTTCTCAACAACAGGAAGGGTCTTATATATATATATATATATATATATATATATATATATATATATATATATATATATATATATATATATATATATATATATATATATATATATATATATATATATATATATATATATATATATATATATATTTATATATATTTATATATATATATAAATATATATATATATATATATATATATATATATATATATATATATATATATATATATATATATATATATATATATATATGTCGTACCTAGTAGCCAGAACGCACTTCTCAGCCTACTATGCAAGGCCAGATTAGCCTAATAAGCCAAGTTTTCCTGAATTAATATATTTTCTCTATTTTTTTCTTATGAAATGATAAAGCTACCCATTTCATTATGTATGAGGTCAATTTTTTTTTATTGGAGTTAAAATTAACGTAGATATATGACCGAACCTAACCAACCCTACCTAACCTATCTTTATAGGTGAGGTTAGGTTAGGTACCCGAAAAAGTTAGGTTAGGTTAGGTTAGGTAGGTTAGGTAGACGAAAAACAATTAATTCATGAAAACTTGGCTTATTAGGCAAATCGGGCCTTGCATAGTAGGCTGAGAAGTGCGTTCTGGCTACTAGGTACGACATATATATATATATATATATATATATATATATATATATATATTATACATATATATATATATATATATATATATATATATATATATATATATAATATATATATGTCGTACCTAGTAGCCAGAACGCACTTCTCAGCCTACTATACAAGGCCCAATTTGCCTAATAAGCCAAGTTTTCATGACTTAATTGTTTTTCGACTACTTAACCTACCTAACCTAACCTAACTTTTTCGGATACCTAACCTAACCCAACCTATAAAGATAGGTTATGTAGGGTTGGTTAGGTTCGGTCATATATCTACGTTAATTTTAACTCCAATAAAAAAAAAATGACCTCATACATAATGAAATGGGTAGCTTTATCATTTCATAAGAAAAAAATTTGAGAAAATATATTAATTCATGAAAACTTGGCTTATTAGGCAAATCGGGCCTTGCATAGTAGGCTGAGAAGTGCGTTCTGGCTACTAGGTACGACATATGTCTGTATATATATAAATATATATTCACTTATATATATATATATTTCTCCATTCACTTATATAGGTGGTACCCCTTCAAGGGTACCCCTTCTGTTTTTTTTTATTTAAAAAATAAAAATGTGAAACAGGATCAGTCAAGATCATTACAGTCTCTTGTCTTGTTCTTATACATCACTGACATACAACTAAGTTGTAAAGAATAAAAATGCCCACACTACTGAGACCCTTCACCATAACTGTCTTGTCATAGTAAGCCTACTCATCAGGTGAAGCCTATTTCTCCATTCACTTTCTCACATACACACTCACAACTTAAAAATTTACTTGATTATGAAAAGCTTATAGGCAAGTTTAGGAGTCGTTCTCCCTCTTTACCTTACATGTATGGCTTTATTAAAACACATAAACAGAATAACCCAGCAAGGCCTGGCATACAGCCAGGCCGGAATGAGGCAACAATCACCTCTCCCTATCCTTCGGCGCTCTCTACAATTAAACTTCGGCGCTTTCTACAATTAAAGGGTTCAGAAGAATCATAGAGTAAGGTGTATCCACACACTTATAAATGTCTAGATTCAAGCAGCATGGTACAGTTATAGCCCCGCTCTTGTGCCAGGTAAGTCCACTACGGGCTCACCATAGCCCGTGCCACTTCCCCCGCTCCTGTGCCAGGTAAGTTACGGGCTCACCATAGCCCGTGCTACTTGGAACTTGTTCCGAGTAGCTGAATCTATAACAACAACAACAACAAGTAGCATGGACTCATCATAGCCCGTGCTACATGGACTTTTCGCTCTGAGTAGCTAAATCTAAAACAACAACAACAACAGCCTTGTAAGCAGAGGCATCACTCCCCGCCATCAGCTGAATCCTCGGGTGGACACAATGCATCCTCAACGGTATAAAGTTAGGGCTTCAAACCTCTATCTAGATGGATATGCCTTTGGAAAGTGTGACATTCTAAAGATCCAAAAAGTGTTGGGAGCTGGAGTGGAGGGTGCTGCTGTTTGTGTAGCCTGGGTCTTTGGTAGAGCTAGGGTCTGAGTTGATGTCGACTTTGTCGAAGTCCCGCGTGTAGTAGGGAAAGTAGTGAGACTTGCATCAGGGACTATGATGGGGCCCAAGCCATTGGTTAGGTATAATGCATTCAGTTCACTTACGAAACGGTGGTTATCTGGTCTAGCAAGCCTCTCCATTAGTCTAATAAGACCACGGCTAATGCCTGCACGTGATGAAGGGGGCTGCGAAGGAGCCTGTGGGGCCATGGGTTCCCATACTGAAGGCTGGGGTCACCTGGTGGGAGGAGCCACTATTTGGTAAGACTGGAAAGTCTTCTGGTTGGTTGGTGGGAGCTGAGGTAGTGGGTAGAAGGGTTGTTTCTCTTGGCTTCAACCTGGGCCCTTGATGTTTTCCTGTCTGGGGGCAATGGGAGGAAATTGACTGGTGATCGCCATCGCAGAGCAAGCAGCGATGGGTTGTTGCCTTGCATATGAAGTAGTGATGGTCCAGTGCGCACAGGCTGTACTTCTGGACGGGGTGCTGACACTTGGTGGGGTGGGTGAGCTCGTTAATACTTGAAGCACTGTTGGAGCTCTTGGTATCGTTCCTTTCTCACTTGGTCAGGTGGTATCTTTAGGTCGAAGCAGTAGAAGCCTTGTGCGCAGCCTGGTTGGCTGCTGCTAATGAGGCTATAAAATTTTTGTTTTATCATCGCTGCAGAACAAATCGAACACGCCCAGGGATGGGGTTTCGTTCTCGATGTTGCGAATGTTCTTACTTTCTTTTCGGTCAGCAGTTATCAATTGGCTGACCCTGCTGATAAAAACTGTTCTTTCTGTTAGGAACTACTTTGGGTAGCTTAGATAGAGGTGGTGCTCCGTGCGAAGTGGGAATTCGAAGTGTGATGTTGGGTGTGATACCGGCCTCGTCTTTTTGGATCTTTAGAATGTCACTCTTTCCAAAGGCGTGTCCATCTAGATAGAGGTGTGAAGCCCTAAATTTATACCGTTGAAGATGCATTGCGTCCACCCAGGGATTCAGCTGATGGCGGGGAGTGATGCCTCTCTGCTTACAAGGTTGTTGTTGTTGTTTTAGATTTAGCTACTCAGAGCGAAAAATCCATGTAGGACGGGCTATGGTGAGTCCGTGCAGCTGATTGATGAAGATTAAGCCATCCAAAAGGTGGCACGGGCATGAATAGCCCGTAAGTGGTGGCCCTTTTGAGCCATTACCAGTATCAAAAGATGATACTGGAGATCTGTGGAGGTGCGACTGCACCCTGTGTGACGGGAGATGTCTCCCGGACCAAATGGTGACCAAATGGTGAATCCGTGCTGCTTGAATCTAGACATTTATAAATGTGTGGATACACCTTACTCTACGATTCATCTAACCCCTTAATTGTAGAAAGCCCGAAGTTTAATTGTAGAGAGCGCCGAAGGATAGGGAGAGGTGATTATTGTCTCATTCCGGCCTGGCTGTATGCCAGGCCTTGCTGGGTTATTCTGTTTATGTGTTTTAATAAAGCCATACATGTAAAGTAACGAGGGAGAACGACTCCTAAACTTGCCTATAAGCTTTTTATAATCAAGTAAATTTTTAAGTTGTGAGTGTGTGTGTGAGAAAGTGAATGGAGAAATAGGCTTCACCTGATGAGTAGGCTTACTATGACAGGACAGTTATGGTGAAGGGTCTCAGTAGTGTGGGCATTTTTATTCTTTACAACTTAGTTGTATGTCAGTGATGTACAAGAACAAGACAAGAGACTGTAATGATCTCGACTGATCCTGCTTCACATGAGAGAAAAAAATCTCTTTATTTTCCTTAGCTTCATGGGACACTTATCCGATGTAAATAATCCATATATCTAGCACTTTTCCGATCTAAACAATCCATATATGTGACTTTATCCTCCACATCCGCATAAATTCATTTGTGCATTTATCTAAAGCCGAATATCAAATATTATCTAGCGTTTTAAAAAACAAATGAGTCAAAGATTTAATCTTTAACGGACGGGAATCGTCGTCACCTTATTTTAATTTCTTCATGCGAGGATTTTAGGCCCATATATTTCTTATTAATCTATTATTATTAATTTCAGAGAGAAAGTGGACACTACACATTGACTTCAAGCAGTGGAGATATTGTGGTGAGTCCCACAGAAGGCCGGGGCAACACCACCATCACTCTCACCGCCATGAACGCGGGAACAACCTTTGATTACGAAACCCAACAGAATAAGACACTCAGTTTTACGGTATGTTTGTCTTGAGCGCTGTAATGAACGAGGGGGAGTGATAACGAGCGAGGGAGAGTGGTGAAGAATAAAGGAGAGGGATAAAGAACGAGAGAGAGTGAAGAAGAAATAGGATTGATTCAGATTAAAGTACAGTTCTAAAAATATTATAATGTTACACAATTTTATCATTATGTTGGATACAAATATATAGTTAGACTATTATGACATCTTTGACCATTGAGAATTCCTTAACATTACCAAAACTTTAGGTTAATGAAATACGGAAAATTCTACCTTAGAATTATAACCACTGTCGTAATAGTGGTTACGGCCTAGTGGCTACACTAGTGTAGCCTAATGTGTTCCACATTAGTAGCTAACATAAGTGTATGGGCCCCTTTATATCGTACAACTCAGTACGAATCCCATAGATTATCGATATTTAATCATGTAGTTGCATTGCCCTGTTCCTTTATCATATAGTCTTAGATTCTTATCAATATAAATAGAAAACAATAATTAGTAAGTATTTTTATTTGCTGTTATCATGTAATTCATGAATTATAATTCATGTAATTTGGTTTAATATTATAAATATTTTCTCCGCAGATCACCGCGACCGAGGTTGCAAATGTAACTCATTTAGATAACATGAATTTGTTAATCACACTATCTGATGTTAACGACAATATTCCAACCTTCTCCATGGAAAATTATTATGTCCCAGTCCAAGAAATTTCAGCCATTGGAAAATCCATTGTTACAGTGGAGGCTACTGATACTGACATCTCTCCCGAGTTTAATACAGAAAGTATCAGGTAAGAATATTCATTAGTAAAAAAAAAGAATAGAATTGTGAATATATTTGTGTCTGGTCCACGAGGCTCGCCCATGACAAGCATAAACGTACATAATTGTTAGTAATTATTATTTGTTTATTATTATTATGGTAGTGTTTCCCCCCGTCTCATCCCTAATTTTTTTTCCAAGTGCTATATAGTCGTAACGGCTTGGCGTTTTCTCCTGCTGGTTCCCTTCCCCTAATGGTAGTGACATTGACAATCAACTATTTAACATAATAGACGTGTGATAGTTGGATTGTTTCAAGCGTAGGGAGCCGGTCGGCCGAGCGGACAGCACACTGGACTTGTGATCCTGTGGTCCTGGGTTCAATCCCAGGCGCCGGCGAGAAACAATGGGCAAAGTTTCTTTCACCCTATGCCCCTGTTACCTAGCAGTAAAATAGGTACCTGGGTGTTAGTCAGCTGTCACGGGCTGCTTCCTGGGGGTGGAGGCCTGGTCAAAGACCGGGCCGCGGGGACACTAAAGCCCCGAAATCATCTCAAGATAACCTCAAGATAGCGTAGGCCAGACATATATGAATGACTTTTTTGTGCAAATAAATATTGGAGCTGCGTCGAATTGACCAATGGCCTTTTACAGTGTCCTTTATTCTTATGTTCTTAAGTAATGTACTTTTCTAATTACGGACCTCGTTAGGAATATCTTATGGTTTTGTTCTGTTGACTTATGTAATTCTTCCAACTGGTTTTCGTTAAGTATCTCCGGAACGAATTGTTGTGACGCCATAGATCCTAAATTACTTAGGATTAAGCATAAATGTTTAGCTGTAGAGCTAAATTAAACAGAGCTTGAAGTTGAGCAGAGCAGCAATAGAGCCACTATTGTCTATATTTCTTTCTTGCGATATTTTGAAAAACCTTCATCTGCAGAACATCTGTACTTATAGACTCTTGAAATATAGGATTTCAGCTGGGATGTGAGGACAGGTTAAGAGTTGGGATGTGAGGACAGGTTAAGAGTTGGAATGTGAGAACAGGTTAAGAGTTGGGATGTGAGGACAGGTTAAGAGTTGGAATGTGAGAACAGGTTAAGAGTTGGGATGTGAGGACAGGTTAAGAGCTGGGATGTGAGAACAGGTTAAGAGTTGGGATGTGAGGATAGGTTAAGAGCTGGGATGTGAGGACAGGTTAAGAGCTGGGATATGAGGACAGGTTATAAACTGGGACATGAGGACAATGTACATAGATTTAAACAAAATTGAAATTTGATAAAACTCTCTTTGGCGAAATTTTTTTCTTCAAAAGAAGCCTCTCACATCTTTGCTCCTCTATATCAAATCTAGCACATGCTTCGTGCAGTTGGCTACAAGCATTGCTTCTGAATAATCATTAATGACGTATTTCCAGGTATTATCTCACGTCTTGCACAGATGTGCTTGACATTGACGGTGTGACTGGGGAAGTGACTTTGACATCAACGCTGGACTTCGAAACTAAAACATCCTACACCTGTGACGTGGAGGCCAGAGATGAGCTTGGAAGCGCGTCTGGCAACACAGGCAACAGTCAATTACATATTATTGTGGAAGATGTTGTGGACGAGCCGCCAAGATTCACATCTATAGTAAGTATTTAGGAAAACAAATCGTGTTTATATAACTGTAAAATATGTGTAATATGTAAATAGCCTATTTATTTGTGACAGTTAAAGGAAGTGGACGAACTTTCAGAATTTACAACTGCAGTAAGTGTTTAAAAAAAAAGTCAAGTTTGTATATAGACTTTAAAATATGTGGAATGTGCAAGTAGCCTTACTCGGTTGTTCAATCTCACACGTGTTCCACTTTCCCGTAGAACACTCAAACAATTGTGCATCTCCACCAGTGCTACTCTCTCCTTCAGAAAGTCTTCAGTGCTGTAACCCGCCACTTTCTCTAGATCTGCAACTGTTTTACCTGGCAAGGAATGTACCCTCCTAAGCAACCCACCTAACCTATCGAGGCCGAGGCATAGAAAACGTCAGTGTTACTTAATGTTAACTTGATACGTCGAACTTTTAACGGATTGGGTTGTCCTGGCTTCGAACGCCGACCTTACAAGAAGCGAGGCCGTCGTTGTACTGACAAGCGATAGCCTCGCTTCCACATCACTATGACCATCCACATGTGCTGACCATTCACATGTGCTGACCATCCACATGTGCTGGCCATCCACATGTGCTGACCATCCACATGTGCTGACCATCCACATGTGCTGGTCATCCACATGTGCTGATCATCCACATGTGCTGATCATCCACATGTGCTGGTCATCCTCATCACTAGTGGATGATCACTTACTATTTCGAAAAAAAAACCGTGTTAGAGGAGTCGAGTGTTTATGGAAATATAAATAAGAGGGGTCTCGACGGTAATACATTCAGGTTCATTCTTGACCCACAATCAGGAATCCCGGGTTCGAATCGAAGGCGGGATAGGAATGGTCGAGCACGTTTCCTATCACCTGAGGCCCACTGTTAACCTAACAGTAAACAGATACCCGGGAGTCAGTCAATTGCTATGGGGGTTGTATCCTGGGGCGGGTCAGTAGTTCGTCCTTGGCGCAGGACCTCAATATAACTTATATATATAATTTACATATGTATATTTAATATATACCTGATGTTGGAAATTATCCAACACTTATACATCATTTTTGTATTATAATACATATTCCTTGTATTAACCATAGTAATTACTAATCTTACTAACTCGTAGATTAATTATATTCAATCTTTTCCTTCTACGCCAAATATTTTGCCGAATATTTGCATGCCTGGCGTGGGTGTGCCCAACATTTAGCATCGGGAAAGATAACGTCTACATTACAGAGGATTAAATTATATTCTCACTCCGTATAAGTATTCTTTTCATAGAAACATTAACTGACACTTTCTCAACCAGTGATCAGATAATCGCGTGTTATTAGCTAAAAGATCACTGTTTAACAACAATCTCCTGTTATCTTAGAGTTGACATGGAGTAACTAAATTCCCCATCCATTTTCATGCATTTTCGGCGACATGAAAACAGCTTCATGTTAATAATTATACGTCGAGGATGTCATTAATATTACCTTCCTCATAATATAGTCTAGTCTTAATGTCTCGCATGGTTGAGAAGTTATTAGGAGTATAATTCTCCGTTTCAACACATTGTGCCCTTTAGCATGCGCAGAGAAGAGTATGAGGAAGGAGAGAGTAGCGTCACCGACTTGCTTGGACGCCATATTAATTTTAGTACAGAGAGAAGCGACTGCAGCCGTCTTGCACGGAGTCTCTCGTGAAGAACGTCATATTATTCGCTCCTACATCTGTGACATCGGTGCCACATTATTTTAGCAAACAACAGCCGTGTCCTGGAACCAGTATAATTCCAATTCCGTAATCAACGTCCTTCGCGTAGCAGCTGAGGACGAAGGATTGGCACAGTTCTCTCCATCAACGGACACGCGGCTCGGCAACTATTATTTCCTTTTTATTTCATGTGATCACAGTAACATTTAGGCTAGTTGTCGTTAGGACGTATATATAAAAACAAAACCCAGTACGTTTCCTCTCTAGTAGTTTCCGTAATTTATTTAGGAAATGATATTCATTATTTTTTGTAGAAGACTTCTACAGTGCCAGATATATCAATTATTTCTCGTGTGGAAGAATTCTGCAGTATTAGATATATCTTATTATTCATTACGTAGAAGAATTCTAGAGTGTAATTGCCTTTCAGCTCCAGAGTCCACGTCGAGCAAGGAGATAGGTTACACCACGATCACGTGGAGCGATTTACTTGATTCAACAAACCATCAGTGGAGCGTGGCAACCGATTTCACGTCTCTTATTATTTACAGCTAATCTGCTAACCTTTGTTTGTAGAATACTAACAAATTAGTTACATTAATGATCTATTGGGATCATATCAACTAACCCCTTATATTTGCTATAAATTATTTCACATTGCTATAGCCTATTGAGATGAATTTATGTCTAATTTATTATAGAACCATTTTGATTATATTCATATTTCATTTCTGGTGAAGAACCAGCACCAGATTATTAGTGATAGTGATTGATTTATTACTTAGCGCCTGTACCCCCCAATTTGGGTGAGTGAATTTAACTCATAATTGATTATAATATACAGTCCCTTTAATGCATTTACCACATTATTAATTATTACCATCCATAGGACACTAGTTCTTGGATTTAATTTCAACCCACTTGCTCTACTTAGTTTTCTACTTTTCACAAAAAGTGGTGGTCCTGCACAGCTATCGAAAGTAATGATTATTTCTATTAATAATTTGAGTCAGATTTTCCCACACCTGTAAAGCGAGAGAAACACGTTATTAATTATTAAGACGGTTATTTTGGTAAGAGGTTAATCGACTGATGTAATACCAACCTGAAACAAAAATGGAGAAAATATATTATTTTGAAACTAAACCAATTTCAGTTTCGAGCTCACAAGAAATATTTTATAGCATCTACTGGAAAATTTGTTAATAATAGGCTACTAAACATCACCTAGATGAAAGTATGAAATTCTAGTGAGTGCAGTTCAGAGGTATATAACATTGGGAGATTTCTGATCTGAATCTATCATTTTCAGCCATCAAGGTCGGTTGAGGAGAACAGTGCCGCAGGAACCGCCGTTGGCACTGTCCAAGCAGAAGACAAAGATGCCAGTGCAGAGATCGTCTTCAATATTGACTATGAGAATTCAAAGGCATATAAGGACGACAGTCTCATTAGTATTGATATTAGTGGGTGAGTTTATATTTTAAATAGCACACACACACACACACACACACACACACACACACACACACACACACACACACACACACACACACACACACACACAGAAGGAGAGAGAGAGAGAAAGACCTGGGGGTTGATATCACGCCAGACCTGTCCCCTGAAGCTCATATCAAGAGGATAACATCAACGGCATATGCCAGGTTGGCTAACATAAGAACGGCATTTAAAAACTTGTGTAAGGAATCTTTCAGAACATTATATACCATATATGTCAGACCAATCCTGGAGTATGCGGCTCCAGCATGGAGTTCATATCTAGTCAAGCATAAGACTAAACTGGAAAAGGTTCAAAGGTTTGCCACCAGACTAGTACCCGAGCTGAGAGGTATGAGCTACGAGGAGAGACTACGGGAATTAAACCTCACTTTGTTGGAAGACAGAAGAGTTAGGGGGGACATGATCACCACATTCAAGATTCTCAAGGGAATCGACAGGGTAGATAAAGACAGGTTATTTAACGCAAGGGGCACATGCACTAGGGGATACAGGTGGAAACTGAGTGCCCAAATGAGCCACAGAGATATTAGAAAGAACTTTTTTAGTGTCAGAGTGGTTGACAAATGGAATGCATTAGGAAATGATGTGGTGGAGGCTGACTCCATACACAGTTTCAAGTGTAGATATGATAGAGCCCAGAAGGCTCAGGAACCTGTACACCTGTTGATTGAGGGTTGAGAGGCGGGACCAAAGAGCCAGAGCTCAACCCCCGCAAGCACAACTAGGTGAGTACACACACACACACACACACACACACACACACACACACACACACACACACACACACACACACACACACACACACACACACACACACTTAAAGAGGTAAGGACAGAGGGAACTGACCAAAATGTTGAAAAGGTTTTCAGGCTTGGAAAGTACAACAAGAACAGAGACCGAATGATAAAGGTGGTATTCATGAGCGAAATCACGAAAGAGGAACTGTTAGCAAGGTAGAGCCATCTAGCAAATGTTCAGAAGTTCAAAAAAGTATTCCTGCAGAGGGATATGACAAGGGAAGAGAGAATGCAGGCAGCAGATGCGAGGAAGGAGCGCAGGGAGAGAGAAGGAAATCAGAGTACCACAACCTCGAACCCTACAATCCCAGAGGGGAGTGGGGAACCCTCCTCAAACAGTGCAACAGCCACAGGTAGTGGGGCACCACCTCCACATTCTACCCAACAGACACCCAACCTGCCCCATCCCCTGTCAGCCCCCCACTAAGTACCCACCTAGGGCACCCTTCCCCCACCCCCCTCCTCCCACTCACCCCCCTCCCCAGGACCTCCCTTCTCCCCCATCCCCCAAGCCCTCCCTTCTCCCACATGCCTTCCCGTCTCTCCCACCCCCAAGCCCTCCATTCTCCCCCACCCCCCACTCTCCCCCACCCCACCTAAGTCTTCCCCTCTCCACCACTCCCCTAAACCCCCCCCTTTTCCTCACCCACCTTAGCCCCCCTTTTCCCCCCACGCACCCCAAGCCCTCCCCCCTTTTCTCCCCCCCATCTTCCCTATCCCCCAAAGTCTCTCCTCCCCCCATGCTCCCCCTCTCACCCCCCCCAATCCTCCCCTCTCACTCTCCCCCCCCAACCCTGCCCCCTCTCACTCTCCCCCCTACCCTCCCCCTCTCACCCCCCCCTACCCTCCCCCTCTCCCCCCCCAAGCCCTCCCTCCTCCACCAGTCTCCCTGTACCAGATCCCCCCAGCTCACACTCATCCCAGATCCCACAGGCCCCCCCCCCCCCCCAGAGGAGAAGAAGAAGAAAGCCAGTTTCAAGGTGATGTACTTGAACATAGATGTGATCACAAGCAAGACAAGTGAACTAAGGGAAAGAGCACAAGAAGTGAACCCAGATGTAATCGGACTCACTGAAACAAAACTCTCTGGAATCATAACGAATGCCATGTTTCCCCAGGAGTACACAGTAATAAAGAAAGAGAGGGAAGGTAGGGGAGGAGGCGGAGTGGCCCTACTCATGAGAAAGGAATGGAGTTTTAAGGAGATGGCTATCCCGGGCTGTGAGGGGTTCAGAGACTACATAGCAGGCACCATGACAATGGGAGGACCAAGAATAGTAGTAGCAGTAATATACAACCCTCCACCAAATGACAGAAGACCCAGTCAAGAGTATGAAAACAACAACATGGCAGTTAACACTATAAATGAGAGGGCAGCCTCTGCTGCCTGTGGAAATAGATTCCACCTGCTCATCATAAGCGACTTCAATCACGGAAGGATTGACTGGGAGAACAAGGAACCACATGGAGGCGAGGATACGTGGAGAGCCAAACTATTGGAGGTGGTGACTAGAAACTTTTTAACCCAGCATGTCAGAGAACCCACAAGGATGAGAGGCAATGACGAACCAGCGAGACTCGACCTAGTCTTCACTCTGAACGACTCCGACATAAGAGAAATCGGTCTTGAAGACCCAGTAGGAATGAGCAACCACAGTGTACTGGTGTTTAGTTACCTGATTGAAGAAGGGTTATTGAACTCGAGGAGGGATACCGAAACCAAAAGGTTAGCATACCGAAAGGGAAACTATGAGGGGATAAGAAAATTCCTAACAGATATAGCATGGGAAACAGAGCTCAGGGGAAAGACGGCCCAAGATATCATGGACTACATCACGCAGAAGTGCAAGGACGCAGCAAACAAGTTTGTTCCAGTCCAAAATGAAAACAGAGAAATGAAGATGAGAAACCCATGGTTTAATCAGAGATGTTGGCTAGCTAAGCAGCAAAGTAAAAGGGCATGGAGAAACTATAGGAATAACAGGACACTGGAGAGCAGAGAAAGATACCAGAATGCCAGGAATGAATATGTTAGGATGAGAAGAGAGGCAGAAAGATAATACGAAAATGACATCGCAAGCAAGGCAAAGACACAGCCCAAATTGTTGCATAGCCACATCAGGAGAAAAACAACAGGAAGTGTGTGAGGAACTGAATAAGAAATTCCAGGAGTTCTTCACCTTAGAACAAGGAGAAATTCCAGAGATAAGAGAGGGAATAGCTAACCAGGAACTACTGGAAGAGTTTGAGATTACCAGCGGGGAAGTAAGGAAGTGTTTACTAGAGTTGGATGTGATAAAGGCTATAGGCCCAGATGGAATCTCCCCTTGGATACTAAAGGAAGGAGCAAAAGAACTGTGCCTGCCACTCTCCATAGTGTATAACAAATCACTGGCAACAGGGTAACTGCAAGATATTTGGAAAGCAGCTAACGTAGTCCCGATATACAAAAAAGGGGATAGACAGGAGGCATTGAACTACAGGCCAGTGTCCCTAACCTGCATACCATGCAAGCTGATGGAGAAGATTGTACGAAGAAAGCTAGTGGAGCATCTGGAGCGAAGGAACTTTGTAACACAGCATCAACATGGGTTCAGGGATGGCAGATCTTGCCTCACAGGGTTACTTGAATTCTATGACCAGGCAACAAAAATAAGGCAAGAAAGAGAAGGGTGGGCAGACTGTATATTTTTGGATTGTCAGAAAGCCTTTGATACAGTGCCACACAAGAAGCTAGTGAAAAAGCTGGAGATGCAGGTTAGAGTGAAAGGGAAGGTACTCCATTGGATAAAGAAGTACCTAAGCAACAGGAGACAACGAGTCTGTGTGAGGGATGAGGTCTCAGATTGGCGAGACGTTACAAGTGGAGTCCCGCAGGGGTCAGTCCTTAGACCTATACTGTTTCTGGTATATGTAAATGATCTCCCAGAGGGTATAGATTCGTTTCTCTCAATGTTTGCCGATGATGCAAAAATTATGAGGAGGATTGAAACAGAGGATGATAGTAGGAGGCTACAAGATGACCTAGACAGACTGAGTGAATGGTCTAACAAATGGCTGTTGAAGTTCAACCCGAGTAAATGCAAAGTAATGAAACTAAGCAGTGGAAACAGGAGGCCAGACACAGGATACAGAATAGGAGATGAAGTACTTAATGAAACAGACAGAGAGAAAGATCTAGGAGTTGATATCACACCAAACCTGTCTCCTGAAGCCCACATAAAAAGAATAACGTCTGCGGCATATGCGAGGCTGGCTAACATCAGAACAGCGTTAAGGAACCTGTGTAAGGAATCATTCAGAATCTTGTACACCACATATGTAAGACCAATCCTGGAGTATGCGGCCCCAGCATTTTCTTGGGTTAAACTCTAACAACCATTTGTTCGACCATTCCTGCCGTTTGTCCAGGTCTTCTTGAAGCCTCAAGCTGTCCTCCTCTGTCTTAATCCTTCTCATAATTTTGACGTCGTCAGCAAACATTGAGAGGAATGAGTCTATTCCCTCTGGGAGATCATTTACGTATTTTACAACAGTGTACTCACCTATTTGTGTTTGCGGGGGTTGAGCTTTGGCTCTTTGGTCCCGCCTCTCAACTGTCAATCAACTGGTGTACAGATTCCTGAGCCTACTGGGCTCTATCACATTTACATTTCAAACTGTGTATGGAGTCAGCCTCCACCACATCTCTGCCTAATACATTCCACCTGTTAACTACCCTGACGCTGAAAAAGTTCTTTCTAACGTCCCTGTGGCTCATTTGGTTACTCAGTTTCCATCTGTGTCCCCTTGTTCGCGTACCGCCAGTGTTGAATAGTTTATCCTTGTCTACCCCTGTCAATTCCCCTGAGGATTTTGTAGGTAGTGATCATGTCTCTCCTCACTCTTCTGTCTTCCAGTGTCGTAAGGTGCATTTCCGGCATTCTTTCCTCGTAACTCATGCCTCTTAGTTCTGGGACCAATCTAGTGGCATACCTCTGAACTTTTTCCAGCTTCGTCTTGTGCTGGACAAGGTGCGGGCTCCATGCTGGGGGCCGCATACTCCAGGAATGGTCTTACGTATGTGGTGTACAAGATTCTAAACGATTCCTTACACAGGTTCCTGAAGGCTGTTCTGATGTTAGCCAGCCTCGCATATGCCGCAGACGTTATTCTTTTTATGTGGGCTTAAGGAGACAGGTTTGGTGTGATATCAATTCCTAGATCTTTCTCTCTTTCCGTTCCATTAAGTACTTCATCTCCTATTCTGTATCCTGTGTCTGGCCTCCTGTTTCCACCGCCTAGTTTCATTACTTTGCATTTACTCGGGTTAAACTTTAACAGCCATTTGTTGGATCATCATTCAGTCTGTCTAGGTCGCCCTGTAGCCTCCTACTATCATCCTCTGTTTCAATCCTCCTCATAATTTTTGCATCATGTTTGTGTGTGTTTGTGTTTGTGTGTGTGTGTGTGTGTGTGTGTGTGTGTGTGTGTGTGTGTGTGTGTGTGTGTGTGTGTGTGTGTGTGTGTGTGTGTGTGTGTGTGTGTGTGTGTGTGTGTATGTGTGTGGGGGGGGAATAGTTCGTAATTAGTAGCAGTTGATTGATTGACAGTTGAGAGGCGGGCCGAAAGAGCAGAGCTCAACCCCCGCAAGCACAACTAGGTGAATACATAGAAATGTTTATCTGTCTGTCCAACGTTGGAGGCCAGACGCTTGGGGCTACATTCATCCAACCAAATTTTCCCAGTAAATGCTGTTGGGTACGTGCCCAACATGAGCAGGTCGGGTTTGTTATCAGTAAAGAAAGTGCTAAGTGACACTGTTCCTTTCAGCTGCTGGGCCCTAGTCTCTTTTAAATAATTAATCAACTGATATGATAAACATGTTTCCCCGTGTGTTAGGACATATCAACGTATGAAATCGTTTGTGTGTGTGTGCAGTTTGATTCCACCCTTTGCTTTACAAGTGGCTCAACTCACTCATGAACCTCACATTGAAGGAACTCCATATATACACACACACATTATATATATATATATATATATATATATATATATATATATATATATATATATATATATATATATATATATATATATATATATGACAGTGTCAGATCACGGAGGAAAATTGAAACAGGAATTTCCTTAAGTACTTTCGTATATTAATATAATTAATTAATTAATTAATTTATATTAATATACGAAAGTACTTAAGGAAATTCCTGTTTCAATTTTCCTCCGTGGTCTGACACTGTCACATTTTTTATCACGTGTTTATTTTCGTGATACACACACACACACACACACACACACACACATATATATATATATATATATATATATATATATATATATATATATATATATATATATATATATATATATATATATCGTTTAAGTATTAAGTTCTCACTGTATCTTGTACAGGGATGTGAAATTTATTTGTTAAACCTGTGGTTCACCTGGCTTAGTGTATAAGAATATTCGATCTTCCACAGAGTATTACAATATTACTAAACCTTCTGTGTTAGATCCTCTTCAGAATATTAGATCATCTTCAGAGTATTAGATTATACAGTATTTAATTGTCTCGTCCTCGACGCAGTTTTTCACTTTAAGTTTGAGAAAAGTTAATACAAAGAAAACATTTATTATTCCAGGTGGTTCAGCATAGCTACATTAAGCGACGGAAGCTCTCCCGGAGCCTACTCCGCAGAAATAAACATTTTCAAAGACTCACCTGACAGGGAAAAGGCAGACCGAGTCACTCTTCAACTTGTTGTTGTTGATAGCGGTACTCAGGTGAATGCAAACACCGCAACAGGTAAGGTTATAGTGTTTAATATGATTAAAGTGTTACTGATAATGATCATACGTGTAAGTGATGTTTTAAGAGCATATGTGGGGTGAGCCCCGGGGCAGGGAGCGGTGTGTGCTGGACTCCATGATATATAATTGTCTCGATAGGTTCAAGGTTCGATCCCAAGACGGGCTGACGAGAATCTGTTATACTCATACACACATACACAAAGACAGGTACATACAAATATACAGTTGTTCATTTAAAGGGAAGTTTCATGAACTAATATACTATGATGTGAATACATTAACTTTGAATGTGCTTGTATTACAGTTAATAAATCACAATGATTGGCGTTGTCAACCCATAGCCAATGGGTTCTGGGTTCGATTCCCGGGCAAGGCAGAGGCGTTTGGGTAGAGTTCCTTATGTCTGACGAATCTGTTCATCTAGTAATAAATAGGTACCATAGAAGTAGTTAACTGTTGTGGGTTGCATACTGCAGAATGATCCTGACTTCAACAACGTAAAACCACTTTAATTTTAACGACCAATAGGTAGAGAATGAGTTACAATAAAATAACAGAACAATTATTAAATTATTACCATTACGAATTATTATATTAAAATGGATGAAATTTATTTAATAATATAAGTAATGAGGTTTTCTCCCCGTCCTGGACCCGTATCAAGTCGCCACTCTCCTGTTATCATATACCCGGGATATATGATAACAGGAGGTTATATGATAACGTGTTGGTTTAGTGACTAATTATCTTGCTTCTCATCCACGACAGTACTCCCCCGTCTCCTCTGGACAGTGTCAGACTCCATCTTTCATACGTCAGTAACTCATCGTGGATGAGTTACTTTTACTCAGTTACTCATCCTCGTCTTCGTGCTGTCTTTATAAGCTAGTTTATAATGCCATTATCCTTCAACATGGTGATGTCGTCCATACTGGATGATTGATCGTTAATATCCACTAAACTGCAGACATACTTCCCATAATATAATTTAACTTTAGAGTACCTGCTCTCGTCTTCTCACTGAGAGCACCTGGTCTCATCTTCATCACTGAGAGCACCTGGCCTCATCTTCATCACTGAGAGCACCTGGCCTCATCTTCATCACTGAGAGCACCTGGCCTCATCTTCATCACTGAGAGCACCTGGTCTCATCTTCATCACTGAGAGCACCTGGCCTCATCTTCATCACTGAGAGCACCTGGCCTCATCTTCATCACTGAGAGCACCTGGCCTCATCTTCATCACTGAGAGCACCTGGCCTCATCTTCATCACTGAGAGCACCTGGCCTCATCTTGATCACTGAGAGCACCTGGCCTCATCTTGATCACTGAGAGCACCTGGTCTCATCTTCATCACTGAGAGTACCTGGCCTCATCTTGATCACTGAGAGCACCTGGCTTCATCTTGATCACTGAGAGCACCTGGTCTCATCTTCATCACTGAGAGTACCTGGCCTCATCTTGATCACTGAGAGCACCTGGCCTCATCTTGATCACTGAGAGCACCTGGTCTCATCTTCATCACTGAGAGCACCTGGCCTCATCTTCATCACTGAGAGCACCTGGCCTCATCTTCATCACTGAGAGCACCTGGCCTCATCTTCATCACTGAGAGCACCTGGCCTCATCTTCATCACTGAGAGCACCTGGCCTCATCTTCATCACTGAGAGCACCTGGCCTCATCTTCATCACTGAGAGCACCTGGTCTCATCTTCATCACTGAGAGCACCTGGCCTCATCTTCATCACTGAGAGCACCTGGCCTCATCTTCATCACTGAGAGCACCTGGCCTCATCTTCATCACTGAGAGCACCTGGTCTCATCTTCATCATTGAGAGTACCTGGCCTTATCTTGATCACTGAGAGTACCTGGCCTCATCTTCATCACTGAGAGTACCTGGCCTCATCTTCATCACCGAGAGCACCTGGCCTCATCTTCATCACTGAGAGCACCTGGTCTCATCTTGATCACTGAGAGCACCTGGCCTCATCTTCATCACTGAGAGCACCTGGTCTCATCTTCATCACTGAGAGTACCTGGCCTCATCTTCATCACTGAGAGCACCTGTCCTCATCTTCATCACTGAGAGCACCTGGTCTCATCTTCATCACTGAGAGTACCTGGCCTCATCTTCATCACTGAGAGCACCTGGCCTCATCTTCATCACTGAGAGCACCTGGCCTCATCTTCATCACTGAGAGCGCCTGGTCTCATCTTTATCACTGAGAGTACCTGGTCTCATCTTCATCACTGAGAGCACCTGGCCTCATCTTCATCACTGAGAGCACCTGGCCTCATCTTCATCACTGAGAGCACCTGGTCTCATCTTCATCACTGAGAGCACCTGGCCTTATCTTCATCACTGAGAGCACCTGGTCTCATCTTGATCACTGAGAGTACCTGGCCTCATCTTCATCACTGAGAGCACCTGGCCTCATCTTCATCACTGAGAGTACCTGGCCTCATCTTCATCACTGAGAGCACCTGGCCTCATCTTCATCACTGAGAGCACCTGGCCTCATCTTCATCACTGAGAGCACCTGGCCTCATCTTCATCACTGAGAGCACCTGGTCTCATCTTCATCACTGAGAGCACCTGGTCTCATCTTGATCACTGAGAGCACCTGGTCTCATCTTGATCACTGAGAGTACCTGGCCTCATCTTCATCACTGAGAGCACCTGGTCTCATCTTCATCACTGAGAGTACCTGGTCTCATCTTCATCACTGAGAGCACCTGGCCTCATCTTGATCACTGAGAGCACCTGGTCTCATCTTCATCACTGAGAGCACCTGGCCTCATCTTCATCACTGAGAGCACCTGGTCTCATCTTCATCACTGAGAGCACCTGGCCTCATCTTGATCACTGAGAGCACCTGGTCTCATCTTCATCACTGAGAGCACCTGGCCTCATCTTCATCACTGAGAGCACCTGGCCTCATCTTGATCACTGAGAGCACCTGGTCTCATCTTCATCACTGAGAGCACCTGGCCTCATCTTCATCACTGAGAGCACCTGGCCTCATCTTGATCACTGAGAGCACCTGGCCTCATCTTGATCACTGAGAGCACCTGGCCTCATCTTCATCACTGAGAGCACCTGGCCTCATCTTCATCACTGAGAGCACCTGGCCTCATCTTCATCACTGAGAGCACCTGGCCTCATCTTCATCACTGAGAGCACCTACCTCATCACCCTCACTAACATCAGCACCTCTCCTCCTCTTCCTCTACAGGTTCTATGGACATCACAATTCTGGACGTGAATGACTCGCCTCCAGAATTCATAGCCAATAATTATGACCAGATATCTGTGAAGGAAAACTCAGTTGGGAACACAATAGTTGCGACGATCAAAGCAAAGGACCCGGATGTAAACGACAACGTCACGTTTTCTATAATGTGAGGATTGATTTATTTTGTCTTAACTCCTTACGAAACTTGTACATCTTTCCTGGATCATGGCGGCTTTGTTTACATTCATCAGATAGTTTATTAGGTCTAAGTACTACGAGGTTGTTTATAGCTGCCACGAATAAGGAAAGATGTAAAGGTTTCGTAAGTAATTGTATAAACTCTAGGCGAATCTTGGCCATTTTTCAGTATATCACTCAGAGTTGTGACTGAACATATGCACGATTTATCTCAAATTATTTATTTATTTATTTATTACGTAATTTCAGGGATCAACCCATGTTTTATCTGGGTGACGTTGATGGTTCAAGCGGCGTGTTCCAGGTGGACCTCCTGGTCAGGGAGGACGCACATATTGACAGAGAGACTTTGGAGTTCTCTGATGTCTTGGTGACCATCATGGACTCTGCCGAACACCCCAACTATCTTTCTGTAAGGAAGATTGTGTAGTGTGTGTGTGTGTGTGTGTGTGTGTGTGTGTGTGTGTGTGTGTGTGTGTGTGTGTGTGTGTGTGTGTGTGTTTGACGGCTCATTGACTCATTTGAGTTTCCTGATTATTTAAATTATTTAAATTTAAATAATGAGGGGCCAGATTCACGAAAGCACTTACGCAAGCACTTACGAACGTGTACATCTTTCCTCAATCTTTGACGGCTTTGGTTACATTTATTAAACAGTTTACTAGCAAGAAAACTTGCCAATCAACTGTTGTTATTGTTATAAACAGCCACCTGGTGCTTCGGAGCTCATTAATTGTTTAATAATTAGAAACAAACCCGCCAAAGATTGAGAAAAGATGTACAGGTTCGTAAGTGCTTGTGTAAGTGCTTTCGTGAATCTGGCCCCAGGACTAACTAAGACTAAGACTAACTAAAACTTAAGTGAATGACAACATTCACTTTAGTTTATTGAAGGCCTCCTGGCGTTCCTGGGACCATTTGAACTTTACATATTTACAGACACAAATAGGTAAGGGGATCTGCAGTCATGAAAATAAATACCGACAGAACGTTCTATAATAAGCACAATACCCATAAATTCAACCTGATTCTTGCTACTTAGAATTGTTCACAATATCTCTCATCTTATCCATTAATAGTGACACTTACCCATTCCTTCCTCATAAATAACAGATGAGACAAAAGTACACTTTTGTAAACTTGCTTTGAGATTAGTCCTCTTCAAACATGGCAGTAACCTGGTTAATAATATTCCTTACAACTATTATGGTAAACGACAATATTATCCAAACATTCATGGTAATTTCTTATATCCATCAACACTTGGTTCATGAAGACACTTAGTCCACTTACTATGCCTCACCAGGCCACGCTGGAGCACTTAGGCCACTTACTATGTCTAACCAGTCCACGCTGGAGCACTTAGGCCACTTACTATGTCTAACCAGTCCACGCTGGAGCACTTAGGCCACGTACTATGCCTCACCAGGCCACGCTAGAGCACTTAGGCCACTTACTATGTCTAACCAGTCCACGCTGGAGCACTTAGTCCACTTACTATGCCTCACCAGGCCACGCTGGAGCACTTAGGCCACTTACTATGTCTAACCAGTCCACGCTGGAGCACTTAGGCCACGTACTATGCCTCACCAGGCCACGCTAGAGCACTTAGGCCACTTACTATGTCTAACCAGTCCACGCTGGAGCACTTAGGCCACGTACTATGCCTCACCAGGCCACGCTAGAGCACTTAGGCCACTTACTATGTCTAACCAGTCCACGCTGGAGCACTTAGTCCACTTACTATGCCTCACCAGGCCACGCTGGAGCACTTAGGCCACTTACTATGTCTAACCAGTCCAC